CACTGTGTGACACAGAGTGTTGGACTGGATGGGCTGTGGGCCTGATCGAACATTGGCTTCTCTTATTTTCTTATAGATGGAATACACTGTCTGGGGCAAGGGGTGCTCTGTATTCTTGGAGCCTGGGGGGGACAGTGGGAGGGGCTTCTCGTGTCCTGGCCCCACTGCTGGACTTCCTGGTGGCCTCTGGTGTTTTTGGCCACTGTGTGACACAGAGTGTTGGACTGGATGGGCCACTGGCCTGATCCAGCATTGGCTTCTCTTATGTTCTTATGGTTTTAGAGTGTGTGGGGGGGTCGTCCCCCAACTGCTGGCACCCCCTGACACCTTTTCTTGTACCCACAAAGTGTTTTCAGAAAGTGGACTGAGCCAGGTGGGGCTTTTGCTCAGCAAGGCTTCTGATTGGCCATGGGAGGTTTGATTGGCTGCGCAGTTTTTTTTAAAAAAAGATTGCTTTGGCAGCAGTTGCGAGCAGAGCCCAAAGATCTTCTCCGTGTGACTGAAGGTGAGGTGCAGCAGCCATTTTGTGGCTGGCTCCGCCTCTTGTGGCAGCCATTTTGTGGCTGGCTCCGCCTCTGGTCGCAGCCATTTCGTAGCTGTCATTTTGTGGTTGCGCCCACCACGCCCTGTCAGAATTTCAAAGAGGTCTGCAGGTTCAAGAAAGTTGGGGATCCTTGGGTTAGAGAGGCTGTGATATTTAGGACCCAGGCTCGAATCCTCGTGCAGACTGGAAGCTCTGTGGGTCCTGCGCTCTTCATTCCCCTTCGGCATATCCTGCCTCCCAGACAACACGGCCTCTGGTTTCGGTGGGCTTACACTGGGGTATCTCTGCAGAGGGTTGCATTGTAAGCAGTGTTCCCCCTAAGCTGAGCTAGCCCACGGTTTTTTTAGCCTCCGGCTCACACATTTTTGTCTCAGCTCAGGAAGGATGGGGCTCCAGAGCCAACTGATTTATGCCGTAGCCAAATCACTCGCTCACACAACTTTAATGCCCATAGCTCACAGAGTAGAATTTTTGCTCACAAGCCTCCGTAGCTCACAGAGTAGAATTTTTGCTCACAAGCCTCCGCAGCTTAGAGGGAGCCTTGTAAAGGACCCTTGAGTGACTTGGTCAGCACGGTGGAGAAGAATATAATTGCAAAGGTGTCCTTTAAAAACACACACAACAAATCTCCAGTTTCGTGGACAGGCTTCGGAGACGCTGTGACCAAAACCAGTGAAGGTTTCCCCCAGAATTTAGGGATTAATTTTGCCTCTAGTGCAAGAGTCAGAATATTGAGAGCAGCTTTTCAGCCTGACTCAGTTTCCAGGGTAGACGTAGAGTCTTCTTTGCTAGAGTGCCTGAAATTTGAGGGAGGGTGGGAGTCAGTTTGGCGTGTTTTTTTTACGGAGTAAAAAAGACTTCTGTCTCCAGTCCAGTGCATTTGCAGCATAGATTAAGTTCTATTAAGTACTTTTCTCCCTTTCTCACAATACAAGAACTCCTTGTGGGCACTCCATGAAATTGCTGAGCGGTCGGGTTAGAAGGAAGAGGAAAGCTGGATTGTTCGGGGGAAAACATTAATGTGTGACAGAGGAGGCCACTGATTACGGAGGAGAAGATGTTAGGGTTTTTCCCCCTGTATCTCCCCCCCTCCCCCAATGCCCGCACTGGGATTAGTTATGACAGATGTATGAAAAGCTTTTCATTTTCAGACCGAATCATTCCTGGTCCGCTGCCTCCCGGCGGGAGTAGTCTGCAAGAGCGAAATTTCTCTGAGCGAACGAGACGCATTGTTTTTGCAAGATGCAGGAGCTGTTCCCCTCTTGGTTCTTTGAAGCTGAGCACAAACAGGACTTGCCCGGGCGAGCCCGACCTCGTCAGATTGCAGGAGCTAAGCAGGGTCGGTCCTGGCTAGTACTTGGACGGGAGGCTGCTGAGGAAGTCCAGGGTTGCTATGCAGAGGCAGGTGGTGGCAGACTATTTGTCTCTTGCCTTGACCTGGACAGCCCAGGATAGCCCAATCTCATCAGATCTCAGAAGCTAAGCAAGGTCAGCCCTGCTTAATACTTGGATGGGAAATCACCAAGGAAGTCCAGGGTTGGTGGCAAACACCCTCTGTTTGTCTCTTGCCTTGACCTGGATAGCCCAATTATGAAGCCAGAATGCCAGCAGGGGGTTGGGGGCTATGCAGTGTTTTACATCTCTCACTAAGTCTTGGGCGTTACTTAGGACCAAATCCAGGATCGCCTCTCCCCTGTTAGGTTCCGTAACCATCTGCTCCATAGCAAACTCATTGAGAGTGTCTAGCAACACAATCTATTTTTGACCCAATCAATGTGTGGGTAGTTAAAATCACCTATTACGGCACAGTTTTTTTTGTCTAGCCACTATCTTTAATTCATTCATCATTTTATAATCCTCCTCTATCTTTTGATCTGGTGGGCGGTAACAAACTCCTAGTCTTAAATTACCTTTTGGGCCCACTATTTCAACCCACAGCATTTCCAGAAGTAAATCCAGAACCTGGGGGTTCCCTGGAAGCTTACCCAGGATTGGGCAACACGAAACTCACTAACGGAGAGATACTGCCCCACAAGAGAGCTGCTTCACTGCTACAGATTCCTGTGTACAGATTTCACAGATGGGCCATTCAGGCCAGTCAGACGAACAGAGTTGGTTTTGCCATTGCCTGCCTCTGCATAGCAACCTTGGACTTCCTCGGTGGTCTCCCATCCAAGTACCAACCGGGGCCGACCCTGCTTAGCTTCCCAGATCTGATGCAATCGGGCTAGCCTGGGCCTTTCAGGTCAGGGTTGGTACATGGTGAGAAAAGCTGCATGGCAGCTAGGTGAGGTAACTCCATGGCGGAGAGGATCCCTGTTTCACAGAGGCGGGGCCGCCTTCCTGTTATGGCGACTCTGTCACTTCCTGTCACACGCTTGCCACTCAGTGGGTCCCACACAACCAATTGGGAGAGGGTCACTCCTGGGTCTGGAAAGATGGAGGACTACTGCCATAGATGGTTTCCCTGTCCTCAAAATCTTCTGGAGCTTGCGAGAGGGTTGAGATGAGCAGGCCAAGGCAGTATGCAAGTGCTGAGGCGAAGCTCACTAGGGACAGCTTTTGTTCCCTGTTCTCATGGGTCATAAGAACATAAGAGAAGCCAATGTTGGGTCAGGCCAATGGCCCATCCGGTCCAACACTCTGTGTCACACAGTGGCCAGAAATACCAGGTGCCCTCAGGAGGTCCAGCAGTGGGGCCAGGACTCCAGAAGCCCTCCCACTGCGACCCCCCAAGCACCAAAGAGACAGAGCATCACTGCCTCAAACATAAGAACATAAAAGAAGCCAATGCTGGATCAGGCCAGTGGACCATCCACTCTGTGTCACACAGTGACCAAAACCCAGGTGCCATCAGGAGGTCCACCAGTGGGGACAGAACTCCAGAAGCCCTCCCCCTGTTGACTCCCCCCAGCACCAAGAAGACAGAGCATCCCTTGCCCCAGACAGAGTGTTCTATACCTCGTGGCTAATAGACACTGGTGGACTTCTGTCCCATACGTTTATCCAATCCCCTTTTGAAGCTGTCTGTCTTTGTAGCTGCCACCACTTCCTGCAGCAGTGAATTTTACTCTTTGGGTGAAGAAGTACTTCATTTTATCTCTTCTAAGCCTACTTGCTCATCAGTTTCATTGGTCTTTGGGAAACCCGCCAGGAAAACAAGACCACTCCCGCAATATCCTCAAATAATATGCCTTGAATGCACGCTCTCCATCCTGGATTGGAGTCCAAATCACCCTCCTGATGTACTCCCGCATCATATTCCCCCCCTCCGGTCTGGTGCACTGCAGAAAGGTTGTGTTTCAGGTGCTCGGTCAGGTTTGCCATGGCTTTAGCTCTTGAAATAAGGGAATCTGACTTCGCCCCAGGCCACTAGAGAAGCCGGCTGAATCCGTCGCTTTCGATTTGCCACAGATCTCATGACAGCCGCGATTCCCTTCTCCACCGTTCAGGTCCCCCCTTCCCAGAATTGCTCACGGCTCCCGCTGCAGCGAATGCGACCAGAACGTCTGTTTCTGGCTTCCACAGCTAGAGGGGAGAAAAAGCTCCATCTGCATTCCTCCCAGCCAGAAGAACCGGGCTGAGATTTGGAGGTTTTAAGAGAATGCAAATCAATCCACCTGGTCAGCTGTGTTGGTCTGAAGTGGTAGAACAAATTTGGAGTCCGATGGCAGCTTTAAGACCAGCAAAAGTTCATTCCGGGTATGAGCTTCCATGTGCAAGGCAGACTTTTTCAGATGGAAGGTAAGATTCAAACTTATAGACAGGGGGCGAACAGCAGATTAACATGTAACGCAATGAAGAGGTTTTAAGATACGCAAAGGCAAAACGAAATAGCAAGCTAAGATTATAAAGTCAACAGTGGTGAAGCAATAAATATGTCAAAACAGCAGATAAATGTGTAAAGGTATCTTTTCCTGAGAGGAGAGAATGGAGACTCTCCCGCGATTAGAAAAAAATTACCTTTACAAATTTATCTGCTTTTAAAAATATTTATTGCTTTACATCGGTTGACCGTATAACCTTAGCTTGTTCTTTAGTTTTGTCTTTGCCTATCTTAACACATCATCATGTTACATGTTACTTTGCCTTTCAGCCCCTGTCTATAAGTTTGAACCTTGCCTACCATTCCAGTGTATTTGGAAACATGTGCTTTGCATACGGAGGCTCACACCTTGAATGAATCTTTTGTTGGTCTTGAAAGTGCCACGCTAGACTCTAAATTCAGAGAATGCAAGCGACAGAGAGGCTGTGCTCCACATGGCCACGCAAAGCTATCTGCCCGTCGAAGTGCCTTCCATTTCTGCGTTCTCAGTATCTTGAAGGGCCTTCTGTTGGCCTGTGTACGTGTGGGTGTCAGGTCCCCACAGCAAACAACGTAGTACACACTTGCAAGAAGGTTTTACTTTATTGAAGCCATGAAGCACTTGAACAGGGCCACTGTTCAGAATAACGATAGCTCGGAGAGCTGGAAAGGTTAAAGCAAGTTCATAATCATTACAGCCAATAAACATGGTTCCCGCGCGCGGCCAAAGGGTTTCTTGCGCGCCTAAACCTTGGGAAAGCAACGGCTACCTTATTATAAATAAGCATACGATTCTCACAGTCTCTACTAATTAAAGACAAAGCAAAGCTCTCTTGCTCTTCCACCTGTGGCCTTGGCTAGATAACGTTACATCAAAGCATGGCTGGCGTATACTGAAAGGAATGCAGAGCTACTGGGGAGATGTGCGCATGACAACCTGAGCACATCTACGGAGGGGGGGGGAGAAATATGCATAGAGGATCATATAGACAAGAATAAACCTTTGGCAGCTTGCTGACAGTGGGGTGTGCAGGGCACAGCGGTGTCCATGCATTGCCAAGTTGAGGGGCCGTGGCTCAGCGGCAGAGCATCTGCTTGGCACGCAAGAAGGTACCAAGTTCGATCCCCGGCGTCTCCAGTTAAAAGGATCAGACCATAGATGATGTGAAAGTCCTCTAGCTGAGACCCTGGAGAGCCACTGCCTGTCTCGAGTAGATAATACTGACCTTGCTGGACCAAGAAAGTCTGATTCAGTATAAGGCAGTTTCATGCGTTTTTGTATTATAGGATCAGGAAAAAAACCAAGGAAGGATCACAGGTATCCATATAGGAAATACAACAAACACGCAAACACTGTGATATGAGTGACTAGGACATTTAGTAAAGATCATACTGTGTTATAAATAAAACTTTACAATATTACAAGGAAAAGTCCATCATTCTCAATGAGCACCTGGATATAAGCTCGTTTCATCCCAATCTTCCTCAGGACGGAGTAATCGTATTGTATCGAACGGTGTCAGCCTCTTGATACAGCTCAGTGTTATGTTAGGAGCAAACCCATGCTTGACTTCTTAATTTTCTTCAAATTATCCTGGAAAAAACTCAATGGTATTTAAAACGAAAAGCAACATGGAGCTGAATGGAATATTATTTTTAAATTTTGTAATATTATTTTTTAATTTTTTAAATTTTTTAGAACTTACTTCTGGTTCCATTTCAAGTGTTTGTATTAGGAGCAGGCAAGTCTTGTCTTCTTTAACTAGGTGCAAAAGCCTTCTATATTGCGCTGGCTTAAATGCTCTCCATGAACACTGTATGAATATTTATAGTAGTTGCAAACCAGACCAACATGGCTGCCCCCTGAAACTAACTTAAGCTACCTTAATACTAGTTAGCAGCTGGGACACAGAGAGCCAGTGTGGTGCTTTGTGTCAGACTAGAATCGAGCAGACCCGGGTGCAAATCCCGACTCTGCCATGAAACTTGCCGGATGCTTTTGGGCCCGTCGCTCGCTCAGCGTATTCTACCTCGCAGGGTTGTTGTGAAAGTAGAACAGGGAAAGGGAGAACCATGTAGATGAGCAAGAAGAAGACATTGGATTTATACCCCGCCCTTCACTTGGAGTCTCAGAGCTGCTTATAATCTCCTTTCCCTTCCCCTCCCCACAACATACACCCTGTGAGCAGTGTTCCCTCTAAGGTGAGTTAGTGTGAGCTAGCTCACAGGTTTTTAGCCTCCAGCTCACACATTTTTGTCTTAGCTCAGGAAGGATGGCTCCAAAGCAAATTAATTTAGGCAGTAGCCAAATTGCTCACAATTTTTTAAATTGCATTTTTTATTTTAATGCCAGTAGCTCACAAAGAAGAATTTTTGCTCACAAGAATCCACAGCTTAGAGGGAGCATTGCCTGTGAGATAGGTAGGGCTGAGAGAGCTCTGAGATAACTGTTCCTGAGAGAGCAGCTCTGAGAGAACTGTGACTGACCCAAGATCCCACCAGCAGCTGCATGTGGAGGAGTGGGGAATCAAACCCGGTTCTCCCGAATTAGAGTCTGTGCTTCTAACCACTACACCGAACTGGCTCTCCATTTGAGTTGGTGGGACAAAACGTATGCGATGCTTCAGATCGATAGAGCACTTTCTGTAGTGTGATCGTTAATGACAGCCTGATCATGTTAGGCCAGTATTATCACTCTCGTATTGTGGGAGGGAAGGAGGGGATTCCTAGTGAGTTCGGGGCAAGGGTCTGCACCCGCGCTCCACCCAGTCTTTTAGCCACTGTGCTAAGCTCTCTCCCAGACATACATAAACTTCACTGTTATGACTTCCCCTAAAGGATCGTGGGAATTGTAGCTTGATGAAGGGGGTGTTCACTGTTAGAGAGCCCGAGTCCTCATTCCAGGATCCCCTGGGGAAAAAGGAATTAGCAAGCCAGTTTGTGGTCCTTTCCGCACTTGGATCTCATCCCTGGTATTATCAGAGTTCAACTCGTGACACAATACCTTGCATTTATCCCTGGTTATAACAGCATCCGTTTATCCCGGGACAAGCGTGGGGCGAAACCAGGGTGACCCCAATGTAATGTGGAAATAAGAAATACCCCGAGATAATTACAGGGGTGAACTCGCATGTAGTGTGGAATGTAAAAATGCCCCGAGATAATTACAGGGGTGAACTCGCGTGTAGTGTAGAATGTAGAAATGCCCCGAGATAATTACAGGGGTGAACTCGCATGTAGTGTGGAATGTAAAAATACCCCGAGATTATTACAGGGGTGAACTTGCGTGTAGTGTAGAATGTAAAAAGACCCCGAGATTATTACAGGGGTGAACTCGCGTGTAGTGTGGAATGTAAAAATACCCCGAGATAATTACAGGGGTGAACTCGCATGTAGTGTGGAATGTAAAAATGCCCCGAGGTAATTACAGGGGTGAACTCGCGTGTAGTGTAGAATGTAAAAATGCCCCGAGGTAATTACAGGGGTGAACTCGCGTGTAGTGTAGAATGTAAAAAGACCCC